GGGTCCCAGGTCCCAGGTGGAGGGACCACTGAGCCAGCCCGGGGCGGGGACTAGGCCTTGAGAGAGGGTCCGGGTGGCGTTTACAGGAGAAACCCCGCTGAGCCCTCGGGTCTGCCCCGTGAGAATAGGTGAGACACAGGCCCTGCTGGCACCTGGGGTCGGACCTGCAGCCTCCAGAAGCCGAGAAATAAATGTCTTTTCTTGAGTCACCGCGTGCATTGTATTCTGTTACAGCGCCTGCCTGAAACGGTGTCAGTTGGGGAGATGTGGCCTAGAGGACACACCCAGCGCTCGCTCCTTTCTGTGTCCTGTGTGTGCACGTATGTGCGCGCCCTGTGCTCAGCGTCCATCACTGGCGTGATGTCAGCATCATCCAGGTCCAGCCACCAGGGGTTCGGGCCTCCCAAGGCCACTTTTCTGCAGACGTAAGTGGAGCCTCATTTCTCTGGCTTTTTCTCATTTGTAAGGTGAGACTTGATGTGTTCAGGTCCCCTCACTGTTGATAGGATTCAGTGGGATAATATTTGCAAAGCCTGAAAGCTTCAGTAAATGCTGGCCCTTCAACACGGCACAGCGGTGAGGAGCTCCATTGGGTGCCGGCTTCGCCGCTTCCTCGCCATATGATGCTGGGCATGGTTACTTTTCATGCTTCCAGGGCCTCATCCGTAACAGAGTTATTATCCCTGGCACCGAGGGTGTTGTGATGATTGCACTGCAGCGAACATGCCTGTACAGTGCCTCTCAGTGAGTACGGTTCTCTTTCAGGCTTGGGACCTGAGGCCTTATTTGCCACACAGGCCACTGGGAGTTAGACAGATAGTAAAAGGCTGTTTTAATCTTAGGTGGCCGTGGCTGAAACAATGCAAGTATGAGTTGATAAGACCTAACCTGAGGTGAATGAGAAAAAAGCAGACGAGTATAGGTTTCCTATACTCTTAATAACAAAGGTAAAGAAGTGGTCAAAACTAAAACATATTTACCATAAGAAGTAACAATACATAATTTATGTAGTTAATAAAGTAAAGCAATATAGAACTGATATCCTGGACCACAAGGTCATTTGAAAGTAGGATGGGCAGAGTGATGGCTGCAGTTGGTTCTCCAAAGCCCTTGTATTATTTGGGAAGAGGGTGGAAATATTGATTAACTTTAAGCTTTAGTCTTTCATGTGTACAAGTTAAAAATATCTCAGGTAACTACTAAAACAGTATATAATTTCCAAATTAGTAGTGGGAGAAAGATAATTTTTAAAAAGAAAGATATAAAGATAGAAAAAAAGAAACAAATAGAAGCACAAAAAATATAAAAAAGAAATGCAAATATTTCAGTAATTATAGTAAATGTAAATGGAATAAACGGTCCAATTTTTTAAAAATGTAATGAACAAAATAAAATTCAACCATAAGCTACTTTTTTTTATTGATTGATTAAGGTTGCTACTTTTGATACATTCTTTTTTCTTTAATGTAGACTGATGTCTGCATCTTTTTTTAATGTTTTTATTGATTTTTGGAGAGAGAGGAAGGGAGAGTGACAGAGAAATAGAAACATCTATAAGAGGGAAACATCATCAATTGGCTGCCTCCTGCACACTCCCTACTGGGGATCAAGCCCACAACCCAGGCATGTGCCCTGACCTGGAATCGAACCAGTGACCTCTTGGTTCATGCATGGGTCAATGCTCAACCACTGAGCCACACCAGCTGGGCTTGATACATTCTTAAACCAAGAAAACAGAAAGGTGTAAAAGGATGGGAAGAGATGTCATGCAAATATAACAGTAGAAAGCTGGTAGAGCTGTAACATCAGACAAACTAAAAACTAAATGAGCCCTAGTTGGTTTGGCTCAGTGGATAGAGAATTGGCCTGCAGACTGAAGGGTCCTGGGTTCTATTCCAGTCAAGGGCACATGCCCAGATTGTGGGCTCGATCCGCAGTAGGGGGCGTGCAGGAGGCAGCAAATCAATGAT